CATGAAAGATCCGTGAGCCTCCCCCTTTCCCTTGGCCTTGCTGCCTCAGGTAGCTGCAGTTCCTGGCATCCTATGGCACAGCCTAAAGTGGATAGACAATGAAAGGAGCAAAACCAAGGCGGTAATCAGGCAAAAGATCTACTTCAATTTTTTCCTTTAAATTTTTTTTCTTCATCCCCTTTCCCTCTCCTTCCTACCCGCTGCCTCCGTCTCGTGTGCCCCTTCCCAGCTGAAAAAGCTCCATCTCCCTACTTCCTATTACCCGCCTTTTATTTTGCTCTTTACTTTTACTCTGGATCTATCATGTGAGAGAAACCATGAACTATTTAAGCTTATGTGTCATTTATTTCACTTAATATTTTTCTTTGGCAGTGAATCCATGTACCTACGAATGCCTCATTTATGCTTCTTTATGCTACAGTCATTTTCCATGTAAAAATCACTTTCTAAAGTCTACCATCTGATGAACAGGTTTAGCTGTTATAAACTGTGCTGCTACACACACGGGTACACACGGATCACTGTAGTATGACTGTAGCTCTTTGGGGAAGATACCTAGAGGAGGACCTGCTGGCTTGAATGGAATTTCAAGCTTTAGTGCTGTCTCTTTTTTTCTGCCTACCTTTATGCCCTGCTGTTTTGTGAGGCTCCCCCCTTCGTTCCCCTCAATCCGTATACGCCAGCTGTGGCAGCTACCCACGCTGTGGCATGTCACTTCATGCTACAGGATGGGGAAAGCACTGGGCAGTGGGGAGGGAGTTCAAGCAGACCACTGACTAGTGTCAGCGCTTTCCGATCCAGCTGCCTCTGGAAACCGCGTGCACCAGGCCTGGCTTCTAACCAGGAAAGGTGGTCCCTTGTGTTCTTCTCAGCCTGAGGTTAAAGTTGTCGGGCTGTTCACATCTAGTATCCACCTTGCCGATTACTTTTTCCTGAGGCTGTCTCTCACCCCATCACTGTGGTAGGGTAACACTTGATGCCCTGAATTGAAGCCGTTCTGCGGCTCAGTCTTATCACTTAAACCCTTCCCAAAACACTGTATTCCTGCGCTGGATTTTTTCCCCAGCTGGAGCCCGCCTTGCAGAAGGAGGCTCTTCAGGAGCCAAACCCCACACTGTTTTTGCAGTTTACAGTAGTCGTGGGCTTCTCCTGGGGCTACATCAGGTTGGTCGGTTGGTCAGCATTTCTGTTGCTCTGAGCCGAAAAGAAACAAAATATAGAGCACTCTTCGAGTGGGTCAGCAGGCACGGCTGGGTGCAGAATCCACAGGTGCCACCATCATTTTGGCACAAACTCATTTTATTATGGATTATCTTTTGCATGTATTATTGAGCCATTGGTGTAGTACCTCATTTAGGATTTAAACATCCCCATTTATGAGTGAAAATTAGAGTTCTTCTTACACTAACATTGCCAAACTTTGAAATAAATTATATTCATCATTTGAAGGTATTCTTTATTTTTCTAAATCTTAATAGTTTGTATAACCTTGGAAGTGCATATTTATTTCATGTCTAGTGGAATTATAAAAGAAGCCATTTTACACTTGCAGTTTGGTATGGTTTTTGATTTCTCATTTTTTCTAACATCATGATATTTTAGGCTTTTTGTTTATTCTTGGGTCAATTTTAGTAATTTTTTCTTGTCTAAGAGTTTAGCTTTCATGCTTGAAAAATTTAGTGCTGTAATTATATAAAGTTTTTAATACTATATTTCTCACATTATATAATATTTGTAACATTTGCAGAAATTTTGCCCATGTTCATAGATAATTTATGTTAGTGGTTCATAAATTTTTTTTAACTCTTAGCTCTTAACTCTTAGCTCTTTTAATCTTTTTTGTTTGTTTGTTAACTGTTTTCTTCACTTCGTTTTTATCTTTGTTATTTTCTTCTCTACAATTTCTTTAGGTTTATTTTGTTGCCATATTCCTAACTTCTTTGCAAGGATGCTTAATTCATTGAATTCTAGTGTTTTTTTTCTTCTTTAATGTAAGCGTTTAAACATACATATTTTCCTCAGTACTGCTTTTTAGCTCTATCCTTCAGGTAGTGATATGTAATGTCTTAATTTTGGTTTAGTTTCCTGACTTTTTAATGATTTCTGTCTTGATCCATGGACTGTTCAGTAAGTATGCTTCTTCATTTCCAGATTTGAGAGCATGTTGTTATTAATTTTTCAATTCACTATATTGCAGTAAGTTATTGGAGATTCATTTAGACAGGCTTCATGGATTACAAAATGATCATTTTAGAGGAAATATTCTGTGTATTTAAAAAATTCTATAATTGTTAGGTAAAATTCTTCCATTTAGTAATTGATCAGGTTTATTAGTCATGTTTTCATATCTTCTGTGTCCTTACTCATTTTTTGTTTGTCATATCATTTATTAAAGGGAATTTTAATAATTTCAGTAATGATAATGTATTTGTTTATTTTTCCTTATTTGTCTGGCAGTTTTTTCTCTTTAAGGCTTTGTTATTAGATGCATACAAATTTAAACTTAGTGTAACTTTCTAGAAAGAGAAAAACTATTTCCCCATTGTAAATTGATTCTTTGTTGTCAATAAAACTCTTGCCTTAAAGTATATTTTGTCTGATGTCAATCTAGCCTTATATTTTTTGGCATATTTTCCATTCTTTTAATTTTAACTTTGGTATGTTCTTATTCTCTGGTATTCATCTAAAGAAGTAAAAAATGAACTTGATAATATGTATGTGAAGATTAAAAACAGTAAAAACTAAAGACAGATTTGAAAAAGAAACAGAATTTCTAGAAATTAAAAATATGACAATCTAAATTAATCAGCGAATAAAAATATCAGCAGATTAAACATAAGCGAAGAGAGAAATACAACTGCAAAAGAGTTTGGATAAATTATTCAAAATGCAACCTATAAAGACAAAGAATTGGAATGTTGGAAAAAAATCAAGAAACAGAAGACAAAATGGAAAGGTCCAGTATTCATCAATACAGAGAGGAGAGATCGGGTGTGCCTTAGTCACTTCTCTCATTGCTGAGACACAATACTTGAAACTCACAAATTAAAGACTGAAAGGTTTATATTGGCTCGCAGATTTTGGAGGTGTCAGTCCGTGGTTGGCTGACTCCAAGGCAGGCTGCATGGCAGAGGGGCATAGTGGAGGAGAAGCTGCTCGCAATATGGCACCCAGGAAGCAAGGGAGCCAAGGGAAGGGCCGGCTTCAGGTCATGCCCTAGTGACAGGCCTCTCCCCACAAAACCCCACCTCCTAACATAAGATTTAGCTATAATGCTCCTTTAATACGATCCCTTTTAAAAATCCCCATCTTTGAGCACATTATGTCTTTAGGGGACATTCAGATATAAACCTTAACAGGGTGGCTGCAGAAAAAAATACTTTTGAAGGATTATAGCTGAAAATTTTCCAGAATTGACAGAGATCTTAACTTAGCAATTCATGAAGCCAAATGAATCACACAAAGGTAAAATAAGATCCATACAAAAGTATATCAGGATGAAACTGCAGCATACCAAAGACAGAGAAAATCTTAAATGTGGACAGAAAAAATGAAATCAGCTGCAAAAGAGCCAAATATTCTTGATAGTTTTCCTAGGTATTAAAATCGGGGAAATAGCTTTATACGTTAAAGGCAGGAAAACTCCCCAGTTTTGAAGGAATCTATACTTTGACTCTTTGAAATACAAACTTTGAAATAGAAAGTTTATTCATTTTTGTTTAGAAAAGCAGCTGCCATGCTTCTGGGTTAAAGATGTCCATCAATTTGTTCTCTGTTTTTTCTTTTTGTTCTGGAGATTTCTAACTCTCTACACAGCAAATTGATATGTTTTAGGTATTTTTAAAAATAATATATTTTAGAGATTTTAAAAATTCTCTTCAGTAGGAGAGTTAGTCCCATTGTTCAGCTCTGTAGTACCAGAAATATTTATTTACCCTGTTTTCCTCTGATTATGTTAAATCTGACCCGGAAGGATGACTGGTTCACTATTGGAACCACCTCTTATTTCAAGGTCATAGTATAAGGTGAAAGAAAGAGATGGGAGAAAGTGAAAGATCTTAAGAACTTCTATTATATTTCTTTCATTGCTATTTTACCTTTGGGAATAAGGATACTGTTTCCTTATAAAAAGGGCATGTCTCATGAGGGTCTTTATGGAATACAGGGACCGTTCCAGAGTCATTCCTGCATCTACCATTTCTCAAATTCCTTCAGCTTATACTATTCAGTGTTCCACCGTGCCATGTTATGGGGCAGGGAGTGCTGACCTTGTCATCTCATGAAATAAGAGGCGTTTATTTGTGATGTTATGAATAATTCTGAAGAAATTGAAATTTGATGATTACATCTCCTAAGGATTTTTACTTGAGAAGTGATTTGTGGCTTTGTGAGTTTGTTTTTGTGAGTGGGTACTTTTTTGTTTGTTTCAGTGTTAAGCAGACAGTGCTGATAGTGGGAAAAAATTGAATTTGTCCTCTTTGTCACCAAAAGGAATTTCTTTTTGGAGAGGATATATGTCTTTTTTTGTTTCTTTCTTTCTTTCCTGTCCTTGTTGTAGGAAACATCTTTGCAAATAATGGCCCTACACATTCTTTCATATTCTTTAGAGGTATTTACATATACATTAATAAAAGTTACTGTGTGCATATATTACTGTGTGAATATATGTGTATTATTTTTTGTACTCTTGGGAAATAAATTTGGTAGATTCTGCATGCAAGGCAAGGGCTGTACCCTGAGCCACATCCCCAACTCCTAAATTTGGTAGATTCTGATTATCATTTAAAATGATATAGAATAAAAATTCACTAGAAGATATCAGAATGTATCACAGATAGTAAGGGATGTTTTATAAAATTTTTATTTCTGTTTGCATGTGTGTGCTCACAATTTAGTGTATGTGTTATGATCCTGAAGTTTGAAAGCTGAGTGGAATAACAATACCAGATCCATGTCTTAATGGGTTTAAAAGCTACTTTGTTTGTTTTTTGATTTTACAGAAGAAAAAATAAAAAATATAATTGAGAGTTTCGCTAATTCACCTAAATCATCCACACCATGGAACAGTAAGTATACTAAAATAATAAAAATTAAAAGCAAATCTCTAAAGTCATCCTATGTGTTCTACCTTTTCTAAAATGTAGATTATTTCTCCCTGTATTTAATACTTTATTTCTCTCTATAGTTAATACTTCTTAAAAATTTATTTGAAATTTTGCATTTTCCTTTTCAATTCATTAGCATAATTTATGCTTTCAGTATAATGTATTATTTAGAATTAAATACCTAGAATGTATTTTCTTAAAGGAAATAATTTGTCTCCATATAAGTTGAGACAAATTGAATATGTTATTGCAAAATAACGTATTCACTCCACTACCCTATTTTCTCTCACTTCTGTTAATATCCACATAGATGTTTTTCTCACAAATTTTGAAATATGTTTATGAAAATACAAAAAAGCTCTAGTGCACCTAAAACTACTAGTTAAGAAAGAAAGGCTGTCTAACTCTAGGGCGATGTGACTAAGTGTATTTCAGTCTATGGCAGATTTATGGATGACAATATTCATTCTTCGGCCACTGGAGTCCCATTTCTGTTTCTTGCCTTCTAAAAGCTGCCCCCTAACCGTTGTTGAAAAAGTTTAAAATCTGTATAAAAATGGAGCATGCAATAGAAACACCTTTGAAAGAGAATAATGAATAAACACAAACTGTTACAAACATTTTGCAGAAATTTAACTTTTACCTGGATAAGGGTAGGTTACATTTCTTTTTCTTTTTTCTTTTTTTGGTTTTGGTTTTGGTTTTTTTCCGGTACCGGGAATCGAACTCACGACCTCGTGCTTGCCAGGCAGTCGCTGTGCCGCTGAGCTAAATCCCCAGCCCCTTACATTTCGCTTATTGTTTAATTGATTTTTAAAGTCAAAGCCTCTGAATATATTTGAAAAGCCCTTTTACTCAGAATTCCTTCCGGAGGATATCTGCCGCTCTGTAGGCTATGGGTGTCGCTGCTTAAAAAGGCCTTTGCCCGAGCTTCGTCATCTGTTCTCTATTTTTTCTCCACCTACAGATTTACTTAAAGAGACAGAAACTCTTGAAGAAATTAGAAATAATAAGATGCCTGTACATGAACTAAGCTCCAAACTCCTGAGTGCTGGGATTCCATTAAAGCAGAAGACATTGCAAGAAATCCTGAGATTGGCATCTATTGACGGTGAGTTCTTTTTGAAAGTGCTGTCTATGCTGCATTTCAAGAAGTAGACTTTCTGCATACTGGAAATACATATTGTATATATGTGTGTTCTGGTTTTATTATTTTAAAGTCATTTTTATTTTTGTTACTACCTGTTTGCAGCATGTGGTGCTTACATTCCTTGTGTGGAACGGAGCCATGTACAGAACACATCTTAATGCTTTCTTCGGCTCCTCTGCTCCCTTCCCTCCTCCTCACCCATCTCTTGATCCCCTTCTCAATTGAGGATGATCTAGCTTCCTACTTTTTATTGTATAGTTTTTGTTTTGCTCTTTATAATTTTTTGATCGGGCTGGGGGTTTAGCTCAGCGGCACAGCGCCTGCCCGGCAAGCGCGAGGTCGTGAGTTCGATTCCCCGTACTGGAAACAAACAAACAGACAAAAGAGATGTCATGTATAATCTTTTGATCAATGAAAATGTTTGTTTTATAATTGGAAAATAAAAAAGTACATATATATGGTGTAAAATATGTTTCTACATATAATAGAATTATTCAATCATACTATTATATTCTCACATCATAATTTTTTGTGGTGGCCCTTGAAGTCTACTCTGAGAAATTAAAATATTCATTATGCTAATTATTGCCACCTGGTGTACAGTAGATCTCTGGAATTTACTCCTGCTGTCTAACTGAAGCTTTGTTTTCTTTAAGGAACAGCTCCCATCCTATATCCCCACCCCAGTGCCAACCCTTGATAGCAACATTTTACAGTTTCTAAGAGTCTGACATTTTAGATTCTACACAGAGGTGAGAGCAGGCAGTGTTTGTCTTTCTGTACCTGTCATTTCACTTCACGTACTGCCCGCCAGGTTTGTACACGTGTTGTAAACAGTGGCTTCCTGCTCCTTAAAAGAATGAAGAACACGCCGGTGTGTGTGCTGTTGCATTTTCTTTACTCAGCTGTCAGTGGACACTTAATTCATTCAATATTTTGACTATTGGGATTAATATTGCAATGAGAATGGAAAGGTGTTTGTGTCTTTGATTTTATTTTCTTCCTCTATGCATACAGAACGGGAATTTCTGGATCATACGTAGCTTCATTTTTAATTTTTTGAGGTTCGTGTGGGAATTTTTATAGTTTTTTATAATGACTTTATTAATACATATTTCCATCATCAGGTTATGAGTTTCCTTTTTACAGTATCTTGCTGATGTTTATTTATGTATTTCTTTCTCCAAATAGCCATTCTTAAAATTGAGAGATAATCTGAGTCTTACAAATAGAGTGAGCTAATTAAAATTCATATTGTTTTCTCCTGGAAATATTTTTCAGAAGCATGTTCTATTTAGCATAAAAAATATGGTATAAATATATGTATATATCCACCAATATTTAACTACTTAAGCAAAGTAAATCAATGTAGTTATAATTTTTTTCTTGTGAAGGAACAGATTCTGGGTAAGACTTTTAAACTAATGTTTTTTGTGCTGCTAATTCTCCATACTTATAAAATTTGCCCACCTTCGTCTTTATAGTTGTGTAATGATTATTAGCATGGCACTTTGCCATTTCATAATCCTTGCTCTTTGTTTTTTAGAAAATGATGAAACAAGTCTCAAACAAATTTTGGAGAATTTGGACACAGTTAAGAGTGCTCCTATAAGTAAAGGTGGGTCAATCAACATTTTAATTAGGTATTTGCCATAGTTTTCATTGGCTTTTGTTATCATTATTTTAAAAACAGCATTTTAAGGTGTAATTGATATGCAAAATACTATTTTAAGTAAAATCTATGACTTGAGTAAATGCTGACACATGTACATATTTTTAAAAAATTATCATTACAGTCAAGATAATAAATATTCCCCCCACCCAAAACTTCTTTGTGCCCCTTGGTAATCCCTCCTGTTTTTCTCCATTCTCCTTGCCCATATTCGCAGGAAACCACTGATCTGCTTTTGGTAGCTGTAGATTTATGTCTGCGTTTGCCAGAATTTTATATAAGCATGTGAGCTCTTTTCTTGATGGCTTCTTTTACTTAGCGTAATAATTTTGAAATTCGTCCATGTGTAGACTGCATCAGTAATTCATTCTAATTACTGAGTAGTATTCCATTTTATAGGAACCCTACAGTTGATTTATTTGGTGGCATATATTATGCTACTTTCAATTTTTGGCTTTTACATAAAGCTGTTGTGAAGATTCACATACAAGTCATTAAGTGGACATATGCGTTCATTTCTCTTGGTTAACTTCCAAAGAATGGGTTGGCTAGACCATATGCTATGTGGTATGTTTACAGTTTTTAAAAAATGACAAACTTTTCGAAAGTGGTTACAAAAGTTTTCATTTATCCCCACCAGTCCCAAAATTGTTTTGGAGTTCCAATTCCTCTAAATTCTTATTAGTATTTGGTATTGTCAGTCTTTAATTTTATCCATTCCAGTAAGTAATACTGTATCTCACTGGGTTGTTTTGTTTTGTTTTGCTTTGTTTTGTTTCGGTACTGGAAAGCTTTATCCCTCCCCTTTTTATTTTTTTTAAATAGTCTTGCTAAGTCACTAAGTTGCCCAGGCTGGGCTGGAACTTGTAATCTCCCTGCTTCACCTTCCCAGAGTGCTGGGATTAGAGGTCTGTGCCACCATTTCTGGCTTCTGCCTGTAATTCTACTTTGCCTTTTCTTATTTATGTATGTATTTATTTATTTAGTGTATCAGGAATTGAACTCAGGACTTTGTGTTTTCTAGGCAGGCTTTGTACCATTGGGCTACATCCCCAGTCCAACTTTGCATTTTCTAAGGACTAATGATGTTGAAAATCTTCTGAAATGTTTACTTGCTATGTGTATATTTTCTCTGGTGAAGTTTCTGTTTTCATTTATTTTTAAAGTTGGTTTGTTTTCTTATTTCTTTATATATCCTGTATATGTCTAGTTGATCTGTCTAATGTGATAGTGGAGTATTGAGGTCTCCCATGATAATTGTGTTTATGTTTATCTGGTCTTTTATGTCTAATAGTGTCTCTTTTATGAAATTTAGTGCGCTGTTGGTGGTGCATATATGTTAGTAATTGTTATCTCTTCATGTTGGATTGTTCCCTTAACCAATATGTAGTGACCTTTTCTGTCTCTTTTGATCTGTTTTGCCTTGGAATCCACTTTAACTAAAAAGAGGACCGCTACATTACTTTTTTTTTTAAAATTTTACAGAGAGTAGTAAATGAGAAACAAACAAACAAAAATAGAACAGTAGCAGCTACACTACTTTTTTCAGGTTTCTGTTGCATGAAATGCAGTTTTACAAACTTTTTTAGTGTATGAGTTTCTTCTTTGGTTAAATGTGTTTCTTACATGCAGCATACTGCTGAATTTTGTTTCTTGATCTCTACTGCCAGTCTGTGTCTTTTGAGTGATGGATTGAGACCATTCACATTGAGAGTTATTATTGATAGGTATTGACTCATTACTGTCATCGCCTTATTTTCCTATTACTGATTCCATATCTTTTCCTTCTACTCAACTGCTCACTAAACCTATTGTATTCATTCAGTTAGACCTTTTGTCATTGTTAGTTTCATTTTTTTTTTTCCAGTACCAGGAATCAAACTCACGACCTCATGCTTGCCAGGCAGGCGCTGTGCCGCTGAGCTAAATCCCCAGCCCCTTTTTTTTTTCTATATCCTTCAGAACTTTTTGGAATGCTGGCTTGTTGGTCCTGAATTTTTTATGTGCTTTATATTGTGGACATGTCTTATTTCTCCATCAGTTTCGGCAGATAGTTTTGCAGGTTATATCAGCCTGGGTTGGAAATTGTTTTCTTTTACAGCTTGAAACACTTCATTCCAACCCCCCTGGCTTTTAAGTTTGTGTTGAGGAGTCTGCTGTAATTCTAATGGGTCTATCTTCATAAGTGATTCATCGCTTTTCTCTAGTAGCTTTTAAAATTCTGTTCTTGTGATGGAATTTGGGGGTTTTGAGTACAGTATGTCCCTGGGAGTCTTTCTCATAATCCTGTTTTTGGGGTTCCATATGCCTCATATGTATGTAATTTTTTATCATATTTGGAAAGTTTTCTGTTATTATATTTTTTTGAAACAGGGTCTCACTATGTAGCTCAGGCTGCCCTTGAATTCACAGCGATCCTCCTGCCTCAGCCTCCCTAGTGCTAGGATTACAGGTGTGTGCCACCACACCTAGTCTTCTGTTACTATTTCTATAAACTGGTTTTGTATGCTATTGTGCTCTCTTCTAATTTTTCACTAATTCCAGTTAATCCTAGAGTAGTCTTCTTTGTGCCATCTAGGAGCTGTTGGATTCGTTGTTCATGTTTCCTTATTGTTTTTAAAGTATCTCTCATTAATTGGTCACTGGCACCACCCCATCTTCTAATTCTGATACCTATCCTCACATATCTCCTGTCCATACTTTTCATAGAAATTTTCATCCCCTAAATTTCTATCTGGAGCCTTTTAATGGATTTTAATTCTTTTCTATGCTGGTCATTCATGCTTTTCATCATTTTGTTTCATTCTGCTAGCTTTTTATAGTGTCTTCTGTAGACTCACTCATCCTTTCATTTGGCTCCATGTCTCTCTATCCTTCGTGAGCTTTCCAGTTACCTTGTTGATCTGTTTTGTTACTTCACCTGGTATGTCCTCATTCCCATTGGTAGGTGGGAGACAAGATCTGCCCTCTGCTCCTGATATGTCCTCATTCCCATTGGTAGGTGGGAGACAAGATCCACCTTCTGGTCTGTTCTGAATGTAGGTGGGGGAAAGGCTTTCAAGTAGACTATTGGACAGAATGTTGATGGTCTTGGACTCTGGTTGCTCCCTGCTCTCCCCAGACGCTGTCCTTATCCTGGATCAGGTCCACTGGTTAGTCTTCAGCTCTGCTGCCCCATGCCAAGGGGAGGCTGGCTTAGAGTCAGTAAATGGTCACCTAGATAGTATATATTTTTAAAACCTGAATACTTCCCCTTTTGGGGGGATTTTTAATAACTTAATAAAAATTAAATAGATCAGCGAAACCTGTAATTAGAGAAAAATTTTAGGCATATATTAAAATTTAGGCAGTTTCATGTAGATGTAGATGAGTCTTGAAATCTCTCTCATCATACAAAATTATATAATTCCTAGGAGATTCAAGTAAGGCTATATTTTAATTTTTAAAAATTGATCATTTTACTCAGTTAAAACATTAAAACTCAGCCATCCTATGTTTTGATTTTGAGACAAAATATGTGATTATCTCAGGAACATACATGGAATGAAGGAGTTTTTGCCTCATTTTATTAATTTTAGAAACATAACGATAATATTTAGACAAATATTTGAAAAGTGGCTTGGAATTATAGACACATTGTTTTTTCAGAAAATCGGAAAGTAAAAACGCATTTACAAAGACATGAAATGACTTACAGAGCCTCCATTTGCTTTCAGACATACCTACTGCCCTCAATACCGTCAGCCTGATGAACCGTGACCAAGTTCAAGTGAAGGACTTGAAAGATGCTCTCAGTAACCTCAATATTTCTCTAAAACCTGAAGAATATCAGGTGTTAAAAGAAACACTTGACACTGACGGTACTTGCAATTACAATAAGTTGATTTTCCTCCGAGTACTCTCTTTTTCCCTATCTTTACTCATCACTCCCCCATAATTTTTTATTATCTTAATGGAAACAACGCTCTTAATGGAACAGTTCTACTGTGATTATGCATTTGAAATAAAATCCTTTAGTAAGATTAATAATTTTTAAAAAGCCTTTACTTTATAGCCTCATAAAGTATTCTGTTGTTTTTATCCTACCTCACTACCTAGATTAAAAATTTCCATTAAAGTATATTTGCTTTGAGCACTACTGTGTAAATCATGGAAGGTGCTGTAATTCTGTGAGAAGGTTGTGGTGAGGTAAAATTGCTGATACATAGGCGTATAAGGAGGACTTGCTCTGTTTTACCTGAGGTATTTGTGACATTAGATTGACTGAGTGTGAATCCTTAAAGCTTTCAGAGAAATGGATAGAGAATTTCTGAATTTTGGTAGTTATTGTGTATGTGTTTTTTTACTAATTTAAAATCGTTTCCTGAAAGTGTTTTATTTTTCACATTAATCAGAGGGTGTTGGCATTGCTTCATCAGTCACTTTGACTAGGACCTCTGAGTGGTACAGTTTCAGGGGCACTTTGAATCTATGAGAAAAACAACTCTTGGAATTGTGCTTTGCCCAGCATGCATGGCTGTATGTGGCAGACCTGATGTTTAGTGCCTATTATGTATTGGGTTTTATGTAATATGTAATGTATTCAAAGAAATATAAAATATTTACTCTTGGAAAATTTTAGTATGTGAGGTAAGATGTAAACAACAAGTATATAACAATATAGGGAGTTAATAATCAGTGAATTGAGCATTATTACATGGATACAGGTAGACATAAGGTATTATGGGCATATATACACTAGGGTTTAACCCACACAAGGTTGAATGAAGTTAGTCAGAACAGTCTTCCTGAAGGAGTTGATATTGGAGTTGAATTTTGAAATATGAGAGGTAGACAAAATCAGGGTGCAGGGACCTGCAAAGAGTTAAGAGAGAATACTCAGGGGAAGGGGAAGTAAAAAGAATTGAGATGTGCTGTATACATCTACCAACTCCTTATGGTGAATATAATCACTATGTACTAATGCAAATAAAAATTTAAAAAGAAAACATTTGTAAAATGTGAATGTGCACACAAAAAAGAAAAAGGACTAAAGGAGGGCAAGATCGAAAGCAGAGAGTTATTGTAGAAGGAATGCAATCTGGGTTAAAATTCGTGAATGTTGAACCAAGGCATTGGCTCTAACAGTGAATTGTGCAATATTGAGATTGAGGAGGCAGAACCTCATTATTAATTAGGTTAGGGTAGGGACTGAGCATATATTTCTAACTTAAAGACTTGCTTTAAATGTCTTTCAATAAGATAAAACATAGGAACAGTTAGGTTTTGTGCAAAGATGAGAAAATTTGATTTAGGATGTATTTGTGATGCTTGAGCACAAACTGTTGAAGATGTGTAATGGACGTCAGCCCAAGCTGTAAATAGAAGCTTGGGAGTCATCAACATCAAGCTAGGTAATGTTGTAGAGAATAGTTTATGAAGAACATTACGGAGTGAACAATACAGTAGGAAGGAAGCCAGGAGAAAGCTATATCAGTGAAACCAAAGCAAGACTTCCGAAGAGGATGATTCTAAATAGGACCAAAATCAAACAGTGTTCATTCATTTGGCAGTAACTAGGTAACTTGGAAAGAGCAGTTTCAGGAGTGATGGAAGCCAGACAGAGCAGTGCTTTGAGGTGCGTTGAACAGATACGCTGAATTTATTTTTCAGAAGTTAGGCTTTGAAGAAAAAGAAGAGAATTACCTAGAGGGGAAGGAAGGATCGAAGGAAGGATTTTTGGAAAACTAGACTTAAGAATCGGGTTCATTTCTATCTATCCTTTATCATTTTCTTTGCACTTTGCCTCACTCATATGAGAGAGACAATATGGTATTTAAGCTGTGTGTCTGGTTTATTTCACTCAACATTATATTTTCCAGGTGCATCCATTTTCCTACACTTCTCAAGTATGTCATTCTTTATAGCTGAGTAGTAGTCCATTATATACAGACACTACCTTTTCTTTATCCAGTCATCTGTACATGGATGTTCAGGTTGCTTCCAGGATTTAGTATTATGAGTTGTGCTGCTATAAACATTGGCATGCATGTATGGTGGTAGTGTGATGACTTACACCCTTTGGAGATGATACCTAGCAGGGGAATCTCTGGGTCATATGAAATTTCTAATTTCAGTTCTTTGAGCCATCTCCATACAGATTTCCATAATGGTTGTACTAGTTGGTATTCCCATCAACAATACAGGAGTGTCCTTTTTTTTTTTTTTTTACCACAAACATGCCAGCATTTGTTATTGTTTGATTTGTTAATGATTGCCATTCTTTCCAAGTGAGATGGAATCTATTTTAATTTGAATATCTGTAATGGCCAGAGATGTTGAACGTTTTTTCATATACTTGTTGGCCGTTTGTAATTCTTCCTCTGTGAAGTGTTCATTTGTCTTCCCCCTTTATTGACTGGGTCTTTAATTGTATGTGATTTAATTTTTTTGAGTTCTTTGTGTATTCTAGATATTAGTCCTCTATCTGAGAAGTAGCTGGCAAGATTTGTTCCCATTCTGTATGCTTTCTCTTGCTGCTATTTCTCATGCGGCTGAGGTTCTGTTTTGAAAATCTTTCCCTACACCTGTGTCTTCAAGTGATGGATCTCTTGCAAAAGGAAAGTGGTCCGAGGGAACAAGGATGAGGAATGAGGAGGAGGGGAAGGGAAAATGAAAGGAATAAAGGTGTGCTATGTATGGGAACCTAATATCCCCAATTAATGTAAACACTCTGTGCCAAAATGTGAGCTTTGACAAATAATATCAACAAGTACTAAGAAGGGGAAGGAGGGGGGAGGGGAAAGAAGGGGATGAAAAAAAGAAATAAGCTGTAATATGCGTATGTTACCACTCCCAAAGATGATTATAAACTGTATGAATTGCAAACACATATTAATAAAATTTTAAAATTATAAAAAAAGAACTGCTTTCAATAATCAGTAGGATTTGGATAGGTATATATAGGTAGCATTCTGAATAAAAGTGTACACAGGAAAGAAAATCATAAGATGCTTTATGTTGCAGTAAATAAATAGTAGATTTTTTTATGTTTCTTGATCTATTCATTTATCTTTATACCGTTTTTCCTCTTTACAGAAAGTGGAGACATTTCCCAAAAGGCTGCCCTTTTAGCATTGAAAAGCAATAAGCGTTTTCAAGATTTTAGAGGTGAGAATATGGGGGAGTTATATACAAATATAGAATATAGAATACTTGTGAAAGTGCTGGTCCATTTACATAAAGTATAACGTGCAATAATATTAACACAGTTAATAGGTTCAGATTAAGGTGAGCTTCTTACCTTCACATAAGTCTGCTTTCCAACATCACTTATTGTTAAATAAACCAAATCATGTCTTCTAAAAACACAAGCTAAGGGTTTGGGGATTTAGCTTAGCAGCAAAGAGCCTGCCTAGCAAGCGCAAGGTCGTGAGTTCGGTTCCTGGTACCAGAGAAAAATCAAAAAAATAAAAAATAAAAAATAAAAATAAAAATAAAATTAAAAATAAAAACAGAAGCTAAAATTTTCACACTAAGAACTTTGATTTGATTAATTATATATTCACACAGATCGTAAATAAAAAGCAGTTTAAAGGTGTGGGGTATAAACATGTCTCTTACCTAGTTTCCTATTTTTCCAGTTCCCACTCCCATCTCCCAATAATTAACTGCTGTAATTAGTTTCTTATGGAGCTAGTACAGTACTTGGAGATTTTTATGAATATTACAGAATATGAACATATCTTTTCCCCCTGCCTATTTTCATACAAATGGAAGCATAACATATGCATATAGAATTCTGTATCAGTGATGGCAAACCCTTAAGAGATTGAGTGACCAACTGCAACCCCCAAACCCACTTGTTTATTGCAGAGTGCCAGCACCGCAGGTAACCCTGAGTGCTCGGCTGCTGGGTGATGCTGGGGCAAGTTGGCTCACGCGGCGACAGGCAGGACCCTGAGTGTCCACTGTGCCGTGGGTTTGCCCCCACTGTTTTACACCCTTGAATTGAAAATTTATACTTTTATGTTGACATCAGAACATAAAGAGCTTCCTCATCATTTTTTAAAGTTGCACAGAGACGATGAAATTTTCTCATAACATTTTAGAATCAGTGACCCCACCCACTTGGCATTCCCTTTCGACTGTGGCACCAGGAAACGTTTTGTAGTACTGCGTGCTGACTGCCCTTTGTGAAATAGCTTTCACGTCTTTGAAGGCGGTTGTGAGCACAGCTTATTCCATGTACTTATCGAAACGCTTCTCCAGCTCTCGTTGTCAGTCTAAAGAGCATGTAGGGGTAAACATGTCCATAGTTTAACTCACAGTCTCTAACAATGCTTCAGTTCAGGGCCTGTCAGGATTGGGGCTGCCCAGCAGGAGGTAAGTGGCCGGGGAGAAGGCAGAGCTCCAACTACATTGGCAACCCCTCCCCGATGATTACATTACATGCTGAGCTCTCCCCCCTATCAGATCTGCACGGAGTAAAAGATCTGCATAGAAGTGTGAGCCCCACTGTGAACTGTACATGCAAGGGCTCTAGGTTGCAAGCTCCTTAGGAGAATCTGATATCAAAAAAGGCCTCCAGCCCTTTGCCCCCGCCTCACAGTCTGTGAAAAAGTTGTCTTCCGTGAAACTGAAACAGGTCCCTATCTCTAACACCAAAATGGTTGGGGACCGTGGTTTTAGTAGGTTTGGTTTCAAATAATATCATGTTATTTTGTTAGCAAATAATAATTCTGTACATTCACATAGTACATAGTGTTTTACCAGGCGCTGTCATATGTTCTTTGTGACTGTCCAGCTAAGTAGGGATTTTATAATCAAGAATGAAAAAGGTGAAGTTTAAAGAGATGGTGTTCCATCTAGGATCCCCCAGCAAGGATTAGAGTCTAGGTGCAAGGTAAATTTATGTAGGCCATAAGAGCCTAAGAAGTTTAAAATTTTTATATTTGTTTTTGTTTGTTTGGTTGGTTTTTTGGCTTTTTTTTTTGTATCTGGAATCGAACTCAGGACCTTGCACTTGCCAAGCAAGGCGCTGTGCCACTGAGCTATATCCTGGCAAATTTTTATATTTGTATTAGTACTTGATTGTAGTACATAATGATTACATTCCCTGTGGGAAGCGTGTACTTACACATTTGCATATCTTAATTTTTTTCATACCTTCTCTTCTTCTTCCTCCCTTCCTGCCCCCTCCCTTCATCTATTAGGACCCTTTCCTTTTGCAAAAGATTTTTTTTGTATCTCCGTATTTCCTATTACCTGTCTTTTATTCTGCTGTTTATTTATATTTGGGATTTGTCATATAAGAGAAACCACGTGATATTTAACCTTATGTGCCTGATTTACTGAACATTGTGGTCAAAGTGAATTCATTTTCCTTCAAATGACCCTAGTGTATCCCTCTTTATGGCATAGCAGTACTCCACTGTATACAAAGACCACATTTTCTTTATCTATTCATTTGTTGATGGAAATATAGATCTGCCTCAAAGATTTGGCTATTAGGAATTGCAGTGCTATAAACATGGGTATGCATTATCACTACAGTATTGTTATCTGGTAGCTCCTTCTAAAAGTGGCTCACCAATTAAACATTACCAAGTTCTGGATTGCTCTCCTCGCCTTCCAGAGTTAGATTCCAGATTCTTCTCATTTTGAACAAGAATTGAACAAAAATGAGCCCAAAGCAGAGGCTAAGTTTATTTGAAAAAGTAAAAGTGAAGAGTGAAGGAGAAACCGGCTCTACAGAGTGAGCGTGGGCCGATTAAAAGTGGAAAAAGTGAGACAGAAGTACACCCCAGAGATAGCAGGGTGGACTGTCATGAGGAAAGCCGTGAGAGCAAACTCTTCTTGGTGCTAGTGGCCTTCATACTTCCAAATGTTGAGGAAACCCATGAGAACTCTACACATGGGTGCTGAGAGTGCTGGGATCCCACGTCTCAGGCTGGTGTCAGGTCTAGGCTACCCTGGAGTTCTCCAGAGAAGTCCACATTCAGGACTTTGGGATTTGTTCTAGCACATGTTCCAGAATCTTGTATTTAATAGGTCCCATCTACTTCCCCAGCCAGCTTTGCCACTCTCAATTTCCTGTGTTACTTCCTATGTCAGTGTGAAGTTCTTTTGGGATGAAAGCTGAAAGAAGAATAACTGGTAAAATGGAACTTCTAGTTTTAGTGTTTTGAGCAACCACATACTGACTTGCATAGTGGTTTTACTAGAATATATTCTCATCGACAATGTATAAGGGTTCCTTTTTCCATATGTCCTTGCCAGCACTTTTTCTTTTTTTTTGAGACAAGGTCTTACTAAGCTGTTCAGGCTAGCCTTGAACCCACTATAGAGTCCAGGCTGGCCTGGAATTCATGGTGAGCCTTCTGCCTCAGCCTCCTGAGTGCTGGGATGGCATGCACCACCTTGCCTGGCTCCAGCATTTGTTATTATTTGATTTCTTGATGATAGCCATTCTTTCTGGAGTGAGAGGGAATCTCAGTATTATTTTAATTTGCATTTCTCTTATGACCTGAGATGTTCAACGTTTTTTTTTTCATGGATTTATTGGCCATTTGTACTTCTTTTGAGAAGTGGCTGTTCATTTTAGTTGCCCATTTTTTGGATTGGGTCTTTCATTTCAGAGGGGTCTAATTTTTTTTGAGTTCTTTGTGTATTTTAGATGTTAGTCCTCTGAGGAATAGCTGGCAACTTTTTTCCCCCATTCTGTAGGTTGTCTTTTCACTCTTTTGGTTGTTTCTTTTCCTGTGTGGAGGGTTTTTAATTTGACACGAGTCCATTTGTTGATTCTTGATGTTATTTCTTGTGCAATGGTCGTTGTACTCAGAAAGCCCTTGCCTCTGACTGTGGCTTCAAGAGTTTCATCTATTTTATCTTCCAATAGATTATTTCTGTTTTAATATTTGGATCATTGATCCATTTTGATTTTAGTTTAATACATGATGGGATATGTGGATCTAGATTCAATGCTCTGCATGTGAATAGCCACTTTTCCCAGCGTCATTTGTTAAAGAGGCTTTCCTCTGGCATACGTTTTTGGTCCCTTTGTAAAAGATAAGGATAGCTGAAGGTGCCTGTGGTTGTTTCTGCATCCTCTATTCTGTTTCTTTGAACTGCATGTCCATTTATTTTATTTTTTTTGCAATTACCATGTTATATTTATTACTCTGGTTGGACTATAATTTAAAGTCTCAACTTTTTGCTTTGTTACCCTGAATTGCTTTTGTTATTCTGTCTCTTCCTGTTCGTTATGAATCTTAGGATTGTTTCCCCAAAAACAGTGTAGGGAATGCAGTGAGAAATGTGAAGAATGCTGTTATTTTGATTAATATTGCATTAAATCTGTATATCATGATTGAGAGTATGAACATTTTGACAATATTGGTTCTGCCTATCCAGGCATAGGGGATATCTTTTCATTTTCTGATGTCCTCTTTGATCTCCTTTTTTAGAGTGCTGTAATATTCATTATAGAGGTGTTTCACTTCCTTGGTCAGGTTAATTCCTAAGTATTCAATTTTTCTTCAAACTATTGTAAATGGTATTGTTTTCCTAACTTCTTTCTCTGTGAGTTCATTATTGGTGTACCAGAAACACTATTGATTTTTGTGTTGACTGTACCAGTGTATCTAACTTCTTTTTGTTTTTGGTTTTTTGGGACAGCAACTTACTATGTAGTTTAGGCTGACCTTGCACTCATAGTAATCCTCCTGCCCCATCCTCCCAAGTCCTAGGATTAGAAGTGTGCATCACCATGTCAGTGTACTTGGTTATTAATTAAAGGAGTCTTTGGTGGAAGTTTTGAGATCTTCTATGTAGATGATTTTGTGGTATGTGAATAACGATAACTTGACTTTCATTACAAAATGTATCCCTTTTTTGGCCTGATTGCTCTGGCTAATGTTTTGAGCACTTTATTGAACAGTAGCGGTGATAGTGTATATCCTTGTCTTGTTCTTGATTTTACACTTGATCTTAGGCAAAAGGCCTAGAGGCAATGTTCTGATTTTAGAGGGAAAGCTTTCAGCTTTTCCCTCATTTAATATCTTGCTGGTGGTAGGTTTGTCATAAATGACTATTATCAGATTAATACACAATCTTCTATACCTATTTTTAAAGGGTTTTTATCAGAAATGGACATTGGATTTTGTTAA